TATTGCAAACCTAACAAAAAAGAATTATCTTCAGGGAGGAATGGCTGGAGATGTGGCAGCAGGTTATGGATGATTGATTACTCACCACAGGTAGCTCATTATCAATGCACGCTTTCTCAGATAGGAAATCCTGAAGAGGTCCAACATGCTTCCTCTTTTGGACGGACCCTCAACACCTAGCTAAAAAAAAATCAGTTTTAGTTTGTGTTCTTTTTATTGCAGAGCTTTATTGTATTCGCCAGAGATGCATCTCACCTTGTCCAGCAGATCTTCTGGGACTTTCCTTCCGTTCACCTTTGCTGCCTTCCTGATCTCCCTGATAGCCTCCTCCTTCCTGCCCTGGGTGATGAGCCATCGAGCGGACTCTGGAAGAATCCTAATTGACATACATGTCCACCATCACATACTATAGAGCAGGGGTGTCCAAACTACGGCCCGGGGGCCAAAAGCGGACCAAAAGCGGCCCGCGGACCATTTTGAATCAGCCCTCAGCATATTAAAAACGTATAATGTAATACAGCCCAAAAATGAAACTTGCGCTTTTCTTGTATTGTACTAGTTAAATATATCTGTAAACATATATTATACAGTAGTATTCATGTGTTAAAAAGCCCATTTTACAATAAATTCAGTCAATTACATTTGAAAATAATGTTCTAACAAATCTAAATCGATAAGAAAAAAGCCCAATAACTTATTTACATAACAACCTTGAAATACAACCTTCCTATTTCTTCTTATTATAATCAATCTGAGGCTTCTGTTCCAACACTCACAAGCATCATGTACCTACATTTGATTGATTTTGTTAACTTATAACTGAACTTATGAGGCAATATACCTCTTGTGAAGAGAAATAGAAATAAAATGGATTGTGAGTGGCCCAGCCCTTCGAATAGTTTTCTCTATGTGGCCCAAAAGTTTGGAAACCCCTGATATAGAGCGTTCACTTAGGGCTAAAATCAAGATTAGCATCTTAAGAGGCGTCTAACCAGTAAAAGATTCCCAGGACAAGGACCAGAGGACAGAAGAGCACCAGCTGCAGTATCCTCCAATCACGGATCAGATAGGCAATGCCCGACAACATCATCAGTCCAAGGGGGAAGGACGAGTGGCAGATGATGGTGCAGAGAGCAAACTTTGAGGAGTCACTCCACTCTCCACCTTCAAAGCATAAAGTAGACAGTTATCAGCTGATAGAGACCCAGACAGAAGCTTCAGTGGGGAACAGTAGACCTACCTATGACAAATAAATTAGCAATAATGCCTGAAACGGCGATGCCACCTAGGAACTTCAGAACAATATAAACATAGATGTTGGGTGAGAAACTAATGCCGACACCAAACAACATGAGGAGAAAGATGGAAAGCAGGACTACGAAGCGGCGACCAAACCTACGGAGAGAAGAGAAGCACTGTTGAAGATGCAGTTAATCTGTCACTCGTATAAGTTTAGCCCAATTTAAATCAGTTCAGAATCATTAATATGGAGTTATTGAGCACCTGTCAGCCATCGGCCCCAACACCAGCGCTCCAACCAGGAGACCGGCCATGTAGATGGACTGAGACGCTGCAATCAAACCACTCCTGTCACAGATCATGTTGAACTGATGACAGATAGGATGGAGAAAGAAGTATAAAACCAAAGAAAACAAACAAAATTAAGTTTTTCTCAGTCGTTATTTGAGAAGATCAAGAACTGAAAATCCCAAAGGTTTTCAGGTTTTCAAACCAACAAACTGTTGCTGCTAAGGTTGTGCATCAGATGATAAAAATCCATCCTACACTGTAATTCAAATGAGTTAGCATTGAGTACTTTGTTTTAAAGGTTGAATTCGGTTGTCTCAGTGGGGCATGATCTACCAATGATGGCTCAGTCAAATGAATGGAGAGAAAATAACTCTGGATTTGGCTTTTTGGACATTTTACAACGACCTCAATTGTTAAATAAGGGGTTAAAAGTTCTCGTACTTGGTCGTTTATTCTGATATATATTGAGAAATATACATAGGCTGATATACAGACGTGTGAAAAAGTCTTTTTTCATTGGCCGGCACTCTTTCTGGGGGATTGACTACAACTAGGTTACAGTGCATGATGGATTGGTGGCTCAAATGAGACCTAAATGCAACAGCTGCCACAACTATCAACAGTAGAAAAGCAACCCAGCAAGAAGTAAGAATGACTTAATTTTGATGATTACATTTCTGACTATAAAATGATCTCTTACCTCTGTCACAATGCTTGATGCCCCTTCAGTTGCCTCAAAATCCGATCCATTAATGCATCCTGTAGTCTTGTTGATGCCGTACGCTATGATGGTTTCCAAATCCAAATCCACAGGTGTGAACATCTCACAGCTTTCAAAGCCTCCATCCTTGTTCAGTGGGAGGGTGAGATTTCTTTGTTGTTCCTCCGTCAGGTTGGGTCCTCGCTCCAGGATCCAGTCGGTGTTGCAGTGATGTGGGAAGTTCAGTCCTACAAACACCTGACCGATCACATCGAAAGCTGTGAACAGGCTGGGGATGCATAACACCGCCACCAGACGTTTCTGAAACAAACCAAACTCCCCGATCTCCTTCAGAATCTCCCCAAAGCTGCTCATTTTGGTATCCAGATGTGCATGTGTCAAAGCAGCTTTAAGGTCCGTCCATGCACCAACACTGAACTTGACTGTAGTCCTGCGAGTTAAGGTTTAAACTGTAGTAGTAGTAGTAGTAGTAGTAGTAGTAGTAGTAGTAGTAGTAGTAGTAGTAGTTGTAGTAGTAGTAGAACCTTTATTTGCCGTTCAAACTGTCAGCCACAGTGTTTTAACAATCTCTTAACTTGCTAACAAACAGACTTACTAAGGTATTCAAAAGATGACAGGACAGATTCTCTCAGGCTGAAGTCCAGCTGTAATGCATTTCATTATATTGGACTTCCTTTGGTGTAGTTCCTGCATGTAGAGAACCGCAAAGTCAAAGTCTGCATGAAAAGTCTTATCAGCAACTGTCTTTGATCTACAAACCAGCAGCTGCTCTCTCTGATTGGTCACAGTATGGGCAGCCTGACATCTTACATATGGTGTCACCAAGGTGCAAATCGAAACCCTACCCAATCTAGAAAAAGGGGCCAGGTCACACAACTTATGATAATGCAATGAATGGCCCAACTGGAGCGTTTTCATCTATTTAAAAATAAAGAGTTTTTGCACCTTTGAAGTTGGTGTGTCCATGAAAGCAAAATGTGACTAAGCGCAATTAAAACAGATGTCCAGATTAAAGCATGTGATAGTGAGAGAGACGTTAAGCAACTTGGAGTTGACACGCCTGAAATTGAAAATCTGCCTGTTAAAAAAAAGCATCGTAAAGTCTACTGTATCTCCGATTGGGTGTGGTCACTACACTTTTCTAACAACAGAGCAGATAGTAGAAACTGGCATCGAGAGTGAAAGACATTAACCAGACAGAGGGTTTATTATGAAGATAAGCTGTTGACATGCATTATGGGTACTGTGTTTAAGCCCGATTGATATTTGGAGTTAATATCAAGATGTATTTCACACGTTTGCATACTAAAGGGCGCTTTAATGTTTAAAAAGCAGGAAATGCACTCTGGTGAAAGTGTAGTAAAGAGATTATTGCAGTCATAAAGATAGTGAGGACGGATAACATGGAGGCAGTGAGAGCACATTCCAGAGTTTTAAGTGGATATAAAACAATATTTAGTTTTGGAAAAAATATACAAGTGCACAAAGATAGACAGGGCAGAGGTCAAAAGTGAAAAATATATACCTTAGAGAGGCCCTATTCTGCTGATGTTCAGGTGTATATCAGTATATTGTGTCTCTACTTTAAAGAGTCCTCTCCTGCTGATGTTCAGGTGTATATCAGTATGTAGTGTCTCTACTTTAAAGAGTCCTCTCCTGCTGATGTTCAGGTGTATATCAGTATGTAGTGTCTCTACTTTAAAGAGTCCTCTCCTGCTGATGTTCAGGTGTATATCAGTATGTAGTGTCTCCACTTTAAAGAGTCCTCTCCTGCTGATCTTCAGGTGTATATCAGTATGTAGTGTCTCCACTTTAAAGAGTCCTCTCCTGCTGATTTTCAGGTGTATATCAGTATGTAGTGTCTCTACTTTAAAGAGTCCTCTCCTGCTGATGTTCAGGTGTATATCAGTATGTAGTGTCTCCACTTTAAAGAGTCCTCTCCTGCTGATGTTCAGGTGTATATCAGTATGTAGTGTCTCTTTAAAGAGTCCTCTCCTGCTGATGTTCAGGTGTATATCAGTATGTAGTGTCTCTACTTTAAAGAGTCCTCTCCTGCTGATGTTCAGGTGTATATCAGTATGTAGTGTCTCTACTTTAAAGAGTCCTCTCCTGCTGATGTTCAGGTGTATATCAGTATGTAGTGTCTCTACTTTAAAGAGTCCTCTCCTGCTGATGTTCAGGTGTATATCAGTATGTAGTGTCTCCACTTTAAAGAGTCCTCTCCAGCTGATGTTCAGGTGTATATCAGTATGTAGTGTCTCTATTTTAAAGAGTCCTCTCCTGCTGATGTTCAGGTGTATATCAGTATGTAGTGTCTCCACTTTAAAGAGTCCTCTCCTGCTGATGTTCAGGTGTATATCAGTATGTAGTGTCTCTACTTTAAAGAGTCCTCTCCTGCTGATGTTCAGGTGTATATCAGTATGTAGTGTCTCTGCATGTCTCCATGCTTTAATGTTCAAAAAGACCTTTATTTTTCTCATACTGCCTGTGCTGCATCACCTCTTTTCACCCTCTGTCTGAAACCAGAGCCCAGGCTGCTCTGATTGGTTAGCTGGCCGGCTCTGTTGTGATAAAACACCAGGAAAGTGAAAACCACCAAAAAGCTTAGTCAGAATAGCAACTTACCTCATGTTGTTCTGGAGTCAGATCAGTGTTGTTGCTTCTCTCTATTATTCCTTTTATTTTTTACATTTATAGGAAAAGCTTAGTACAAATGTCATGTGATAAATAAAATCAGAATATGCCAGGATCCGGCTGATGCTCATTCTTTATTGATTAAAAATAATCCAGGGAAACATGCTTTGAACTCCCAAACGATCAACAGAAGAGCAAATGAGAAAGAATGAAAAAAACTAAACAGGACAGGCGGAAATCAGAAATATTTTACAGCCTTGAGGAACGGCCCTTCTTCTGTTCAGCTACAGCAGGTTAGACTACATGTGAGCGGGCAGAACAAAGCCAATGGATCTCCACACACACACACACACACACACACACACACACACACACACACACACACACTTGAGGTGAAAACTTTACCTCAGGTATCTTCACGTGTAACAGGAACTACAGTTCTAAGATACTGACAATCTGAATCAAAACCTCAACGTTATGTCCAAAAAATAATACACGTGATCGTATTTATATAATGCTATGTAAAAGGTAACATTTTCAGGGTCCAAGATTTCCTCATGACATTTCTTAGCAAGAAAAAAAATCAATTTGCATTCAATATGGCACCTGGAGGGTATTACACTTCCACATCAACAAATAAAGCCTTGCTTACATGTCAGACTGAGACATTACAGAAGTGCCATCAACTGCCAGATGCACATTGATTATTAACCCATTTCAGTAATGCACAAAAACATCCAGAGTGAAGGTTGTGAGGACGTAACTATACGGATAACAGATAACATATCCCAAACTCATAGCAATCAAAACTTTATGTTACTAACCTCAGTTCTCAGAGTACGATGAACGAAACCTCATTTAAAATGATAAACAAGAAGGTTTGTTTTTAACATTTTTGCTGGTTCTCAGTCAAATCATTTGGGGAATTCAAGATGACCAGTGCATCAACACAGCTGTGGCTCAACTGTCAAATATATTCTAACTTCCCGAAAAGGCAGAAAGTGATTTAGAAAGGAAAAAAGGAGCCGGGGACAAAATGAACTCAAAGCCAGATCTGCAGTGCAGTCTTCTTCCTAAACGCAGCGCTACAACCCACACTCGTGTCAGAGGACAGAAAGAAAGGCCCAGCGTGAAACACCCAGTATAAAAACAAACAAAGCCCAATGTCATTATGTACAGACTAGGTTAAATCAAGTATGTTTCATTCACATGAACTAAAATGCACCTTTTTGAACGAATTTGAGAAGCCATTTCCAGACAGACACTCAAACGCTGGTGGTTCCAGCTGTCATAGAACTTTTTCACTTATTTCAATATATCAGCTAATATACAAAAAGACATCAAACCTGTGGTAAAGGAGTGGAGGCAACATTGGAAGAAGACAGAAGAAGTCAATGTGATCTACTTTTCCCTATTCATATACGTTTTGGTATATTTGAAGTTTCTATTCATTTAAAGAACTGGACAATCTAATTAAGTTGTCAAGAGAAGACTGATACTTCTTAATGCTTGTTGTATTAATGCTTGATAGCGACAAAAACGGGCAAAATTCACTATATTTTGTACTTATCGTTGACCAAATTGTGCTACATTTTTCCCTGGGTGAGATCATCCTGTCAATTTGTCTAAATACTCAAGTAGAGCACCACATGTGTGTACATCCGCAGCTGAAAATAGTCCCTAAATTGTGTTTGAGTAGCTTTTGATGACGACTACAATACCCAGATATGTCAGGAAATCAATTTTAAAAAGAAATTATGAACATTCGAGATCACTACAGACCACAAAATTAGCCTTATCCTTTAAATATAACTTTTGGAAGTGCTGAAAATAATATTTAATATCACATTTGTTGAGTTGTCCTTGTATTTAGTTGGCTTAATCAAAATGGCGTAAAAAGTTAGACAGCTGAAACCACATTTTGCGACAACATATTGCTCCACATGGTAACTGGGGACCCCCCCCTTAAAACGTGCATTCAGTAGTTCTGATGAATATAAGGCATTGTTACACTTATCAGGGCGTTATTCAGATTGTGCAAATGCATCACATATTAGAGAAATATAAACGGATGAGGTGTAGATACTTGCATCCTTCTACATGTAAACTTTTGTCAGCGATACGTCAGCTGACCACGTTATCGAGGCAGCGTTGAATGTTTCCTACGGGCGACCAAACGCTTCTGTTTTCTTTGGCAGTAGTGGTTTCTTTATACAGCCATAGAAGGAAAAAAAATGCATTTATAACTATTTTATTTTTTATTTTCACATTTTCTAGGCAAGTCACGGTCCCAGGTAGTTCGACAGTTTAGCTGATGCTGAGCTGAGCGAAGCCCATCAGTTTGACATCGTCCGGGAGTTCAGATCCCTCGGTTCCAGACGCCTGTGGAGAGAAAACGGGAGAAATCGACTGAAGAGAAGGAGGAAGTCGCTAGATGCTAAAAATGTGTTTGTTTGTTGATGTTGTGGAGTGTAACAACACCAAATGCACATGCTAATGCTAACGGGTATCCTGGTAATGATGAAGATAAAATCAAAACTGCACTTCTTAAGATATTCAGTTTGATGTAATCCTACTTATATTGAGTTAACACAAATTCCACATACAGTATGGGGGAAAACAGGGACATTACTTATCTATTAAATTGTAATATGTTAACAGATACAAGATTATTTTAGAGTGTATTTCATTCAGAAACGTCTGCCATATTTCTCTAAACATTAATTTTCCACTTTAAGTTGATCCATTACTTCCTTTCAATAATGTGGCTGTGCTTCTGCGGGTTTTCACAGTTCTACCATTCCTTTAATCGATATGTTTGCTATGTTTGAACAACACTTTGAGATGAAGGTGCCGCACTCACCAGTTTGAAAGTGACATTTTTATTGGCTTGAGGTTGGTCAACTATTTTCTGCAAATTGGCAGCAACTGGAAAGAAGACAAACAGAAATATGAGACAATGTGAGGTTGGGAAAATGTTGCTGTGGTATTTAATAAAAAAAATCAGTGACCTATTACTAAGTCCCTCCCGTCCACCAGGCCGGCGGACACCAGCTCCTGGGAAACACCGTCTGCTGTGTCTGGGAGGATGAGAATCAGGATATAATATGTGGTTTAAACACTTCCTCTGGTTCCTGATTGTTAAAATAGCTTTCTTCTCTTAAGGTTGAATACAATTCAATTCTTTAGACACTAACAGCTGTGTATCAGCGTTTTGTTCTCAGGGCTGATAAATATTGATTTTCAAGGCCTTTGTACACTTTTTTATTTTTCGTTCAGCTCACTGATTATTATCCAAAATGAGGCGTCCGCAACCAAGAAGTGGGACCCTAAAGACATTCTTTAACTACTCTGTGACACAGGTTGGGATTTCATATCATGAAGACAGAAACTCCACTCACCTCTGCCTGGCATGAACTCAAAGCGAATGTCATTTAGCTCCTTCTTTGAATTCCTGAGGAGATGAAAGAGATGACAGATTAGAGGAGCTAAGCAGATCATCTATTGGTTGATAAAAACCTGTTAGAGACATATTTACAGAAAAGGATTCGGGCCTCATCAAAAGTACTTTAGTTCTGAGAAGAAAAATCTGAATTCTTAGTAAAGTCAGAATTCCCAGAACAAAAAGTCAGATTTCCTTAAAAGAAAAATCTGAATTCTTAGTAAAGTCAGAATTCCCAGGGAAAAAAGGTCAATTCCCAAAAAAGGTTGGCCCCTATCCTCTTATTGTATGCACCAATAGGAAAACTCACCTTAACCTTAATACCAAACTAATGGGAGAGTTGAGGCCTCCTGAGGCGGCTGGCACCTGTCAACACACACAGATACAGACTTTAGAGCAGGATGAAACATAATAAACCCTCCCACAGGAGTGTCGGGGGGGGGGGCTCACCTGTGAGAGAGAAGCAGTGGTGGGAGACGTAGCCTGGGTGGGGGGCTGCAGTGGAGCAGCCTGAGGTAGATCTGCCTGACCTGGGGTCAGCAGGGGGGGCAGACTGCTTAAAGGCTCTGGAGTCTGGAAGGACTGCTGGAGAAATACATTAAAGCGAAAATGGATATCAATAAGAAGTTTTTTTGCCTTAGAAAAGAAGAAACCCATCTGTCAATCACAAACTGGGACTATTAGTGATTGACAGATGGAGAAAGTGGACTGATTTCGTAAAACCTCATAGGCCAGATTTGACTGAAGTCCTGATCACTCCCTAATGTTCGTACTTTTTACTGTTTTTATTTTAAGGCATTTCGGACAAACTTAAGATGTACAGTTACTATGTCTTAAAAAAATTGTTTTACAAAATATATTCCAAAAAAGAAACCAAGATGTTTAGGATCAACAATGATTTAATTTATAGGAAAACCTGCCTTTCTTTCAGCAAGATGCACCTTCTACAGAATGTGAGTTACACTTCAATCGCTGCTTCACTTAAGATAAGAGATAAGATAGTATTGATCCCAATTTGGGACATTTTTGTGTTGCAGCAGCATAAAAAGACATGGCATTGGCAATACAAATGAAAAAAGACTAGAAATAAACGAGAAAGTAGAAAATATACATGTTGAATTTACAAATTAACAATAACCAAAAATATAAAGCAAGTTATAAGATATACATAAGAATATATATACTTAACCTGTACTACTGACATGATATGAATGACACATGAAAGACAGATAACTAAGAATAAAGTAATTGAGCTGTGTAGAAACCACGCTGCTGCTGCTGTAAAGAAATAACTTTTAAAAACTCACCTCCGAGTTCTGCGAGCCCTCCTTCACTCTGGGAGACTGTTAAAGACAGAGAGAAGAATACAACACTCAGAGAGGGATATCAGTGTGACGCTGGAGAGCAAAGCAACAACACACACACACACACGATGCAAAGAACACACAGGAAGCAGAGAGGTGGACGGATTAAAACGCATCTACTGTCCTCATTTATCGGTCATCCTTTAAGGTGAATGCACTGATATCTAAACTGTGGGAAGATTCGCTTCACTACTTGGTGCTAATATGTTGTGTTAATGACAGAAGTTTGATATAGCTATGCATTGTCTAACAGGGCAGCAACCCCTACAGTTGTGGTCAAAAGTTGTAAAGAACATGTATTTCATGACTGTCTTGACTTTTCAATAACTTCTACAACTCTTATTTTTCTGTGATTAGAGCACATACTACTTTGCCACAAAACAAAAATCATGAAGTTTGGTTCTTTTATACATTTATAATGGGTCTTCTGAAAATGTGATAAAAATCTGCTGGGTCAAAAATATCCATACAGCAATGATAACAGTTGGTAACATCAGTGGCGGCGCTAGGGGGGGGCTACTTGGGCTCAAGCCCCGGATCTTTACTGAAAAGCCTCGAATGTTTCACTGAGAAACGTCTCGTGAGTAATGTGCAGTACCGGAGTCCAACAGAGAGGCAGCAGCTGTGGGACAGTAGTCTGCGTACTACCCCCGCTGCGAGGCTCCGGCGAGTCCACAGTTCAAGCCCCCCGCTCAACAACTTCAAAATTGTGGCTAAACCCCGGATCTCCTACAATCCTAAATCCGCCACTAGGTAACATTTCCCTTCTTTACAAGTGTATGTAAACTTTTGACCACAACTGTATCTGTATGTCCATATTTACATCAATAATAAGCCAAAAAACACTGATTCCTATCTAATTATATCATGATGCTAATTCTAATCTGAGCTGTAAATGAGTGAAATATATATTCTATAGCAATTCTGTTTTTAGTTTGAGTTTGAAAAGCAGAGAAACAGCATAAGTGAACAAAAAAAATCAAGATACAGAGGGTCAAAAGGCGCTTTCACACCGGAGTACTTTTCCCGTTTAGTTCCGATAGCTCCTGGGATTTTGCGTTCACACCAAAAAGAGAACTTAGTTCATGAGAACCGTTTCACCCATTTGTAGTGCCTGCTAGAGAGGTGGTACTTTCCTGGGGAGAAAAAAGTTCCAATTTCTGATTGGCTGGGCGGATTGCAAACCACGCCCCGTATAACTCGGAAAAGTTTTGTGAAGCCGCCATTTTATTTGCTGGCATTAGCATTGTTAGCATTAGCATTGCGCACCAACGGAGAGAGAATAACTTATAATAATAATAATATATTTTATTTCTATAGCGCTTTTCTTGAACCCAAAGACGCTTATGGCTTATTAACTTATGGCAACACAAAAAAAAAACATGGGAGCGGTGGAGATGAGGAGGTGTCGGCGTTCTGGCGATTTACTCGGAAAGCTTCTACTGAAGCCTTCCGAGTAAATCGCCAGAAACTCCGTGGACTTCCGGCCGGGGACTCCGGGTGGCAGTATACGCCGTGAAGTGGGTTTGCGGCCTGCCAGTAAACCCAAAGCAGAAGAAGAAGAAGTGACGTCAGCGGGTTAATTTGCGTAATCTTCCCTCAGGGAACTTATTCCGGTGTGAACGCGATCTGCTCTTTAGTTCCATGGGGGCACCAAGTGCTGGGAACTAAGTGCTGGGAACTAAGTGCTGGGCACTAAGTGCTGGGAACTAAGTGCGGGGAACTAAGTGCGGGGAACTAAGTGCGGGGAACTAAGTGCTGGGAACTAATGCCCCGGCCACACGAGGACGAAAACAGCTAAACGCATAGGATTAACGCAAACGCAAACAAGCTTCCGTCCACACGCAATAGTCATCCGGATAGTGTCTGCCCACACGAGACCGCTCCGTTTAGCTCCAACCGCTGGAGAAGCTGCAGTACATATGCAGGAGCCTGTACGTGGCGCTGTAACATCCTCCACAAAAGCAGCGAAGAAGCATAGTTGTCATGGTTGCCCTTCTGTTTATTCTCCGCGGTGGGGGCCGAGGGAACCGGGCAGAGTTTTTCGCCAGTCAACGTGAATTAAAGTTTAAATCTTCCGACAAAATTATAAAAGTGCCGGTCAAAGGTCTTCTTTGTTATTTATTGAGCTTTAAAACAAATGAATAACGACTCTATATATTATAATAATAAAATACACGGAGCCTCTCTTTTTCCTCCCTCTCTTCGGACAGCGCCAGTGTCTGTCTCATGCAGCAGCTGATCCAGTAATGAGTGACCCGGCCGACAGTAAAAATAAACATATTTATAACTAGTTTAGGTAGTTTGAGAGGTAATTAAAATAGCTAAGGGTGATGATCGGACTTGAAGTGTGTGTTTTACTCCGTTCACCGCCGCATCAACAGCGGGAGGAGCTGCAGGTGAGCAGAGCTGCTTGTCATCCGTCCTGTCAGATTAGACTTCACTCGCGTTTATGTCCATATCGAGAGAAAGATAAATAATCTGAATTCAGTGTGCAGTTTACTTTGACGCGGGGGTGAGCAGCAGAGGTGGGGAGAGGCGGGGCTATTGCCTCATCATTATCAGAAAATGATCGTATAGGGCGTACACACGGAGCCGTTGGACCCCCCAGAGCGTTGCGTATGCCATTCTATCCACCTTGGGACCCGTTATCGTTTACGCAGTCGTTTAGTGCCGTATTCGGTCGTCCTCGTGTGGCCAAACGGTCTATATGACACTAAACAGTAACGCAAACGACCGTTTTCGTCCTCGTGTGGCCGGGGCATTAAGTGCAGGGAACTAAGTGCAGGGAACTAAGTGCTGGGAACTAAGTGCAGGGAACTAAGTGCAGGGAACTAAGTGCAGGGAACTAAGTGCTGGGAACTAAGTGCAGGGAACTAAGTGCAGGGAACTAAGTGCAGGGAACTAAGTGCTGGGAACTAAGTGCGGCAAAGTACTTGGTGTGAAAGCGGCTAAAGTGTTCATTTTTAACTAAAATAAAGATTTGAAACCAACTAGAAACGTAGCCTTGCAGACCTAAATAAAGACAACCTGAGAGGCGGTGAATCGGCGCTCCGATTTAAAAAGTGACTGCATGTTCAGGATGTTATTGTATGAATATATATTACTAATAAAGCCGGTGTAAGAGAAGGAAGTTCAGTCGCCAACAAGTAGCATCAGAAGCAAAACCAAAAGAGCACATTTTTGCCAGAAAAGCATCAAGCAGAAGAGATTTGGTCAAATTTGAATCCCTTGATGGTAATTAGTGCTGTAATTAAAACAGGGTTGATAAGTCATTTGCCTTGTGATCGGGTCAGTATTAATTACAAGTGATTTAGAAAGAGGGATGGAAATACAGATGGCTTCCAGGAAAGGTACTCTCACGTCTTTAAACACATGTTGATTCACACTCAAAGTAGCGTTTAAGCTTTTAAAAAAGAGGTATCTAACAAATGTATGAATGTAGTTATGTGGACTTATAATCATAATCTTGCACTATTTTATCCTACTCGGTTTCGTCTTGCAATATTACTATCACTACTGTTTTTTAAATGTGTTTTAAGTCCTATATATAATATGTTGCATTGTTGGAGGAGCCCTGGAATTAATACTTCTATTTCCATATCTACACTGTCCTCTGCATATGACAATAAAGCCTTTGAATCTCTAACAACAACCTCCTTATCAAGTGTTTCCCGCCCGCTAAAGCTAACGTGCTTGAGAGTGCTTCCTTGTTAGGGGAATGCCATCTGTATCGTGGTGCGAGTGAACAACCCTGTGTGTGGGCAGCTCCAGAGGGAGGGTGAAGCGCACTTGTCGCCTGGTGGCACTAACAGGCTTCACCTGCTTCTCCTTGGCCGTCAGACAGAACACAAACACAAACACACACACACACACTCAGTAGAGAGACAAAGGACACACATGCTACTGCACAGACATGGGAATGACACTTTAAACATCGTATAGAGGTTGAAAATACAGGGCGAAGCTTCGGGACACAACAGACAGAAACAGGAACTGACGCAACCATTGTTCTGAATCTCTTCGACTATATATATATTATTAATAATAATTATAATAATCAATCAATCAACAACTTTATTAATCCCGCAAGGGGCAATTGGTTATGAGCAGCAGCTTATGTCATGTACACAGGCAGGAACATACAAGAAGAAAACACACAGATACACCCGTCTTATACAATAAGACTTGTATATAGACTCTCCTCGCACTACTTCTATTCTATTTGTATTTACTTGCACTGTTGGAGGAGCCTGTGACCTCAGATTTTTTGCCTTGAATCTTGAATGAACTTCCTGTCGGAGGGCTTAATAACTTCCTGTCTGAGGGTTGCTGTGTCTCTCACCCTTAAGGCAGCGATGGCTGCTTGGCCCTCTTCACTCTCTTCGTCCAGCTCGTCGTCGCTCCACTCCCACTCTCCATCCTCCGTTTTATGAAGCCGACCGCTTGAACCTGGAACTCTGCGTACCTGAGGACACAACATGTCTCTGATTGGCTGAAACACCAAACAGATCATTGCAGCATTACCCATAATCCCCTCTGTTTCAGCCCTGTTTCCACCGTGCTGATTCTCTGTCTGTTACTTTAGATGAAAATAAGGAGCCCCTCCCCACGCCCCTCTGAGAGATTTGGTTAAAAAGAACTCAATGGTGCTCTAGGAGGAGATTCAGGTGATAAGGGGGGGGGGTTACCTTGGTTGCTGATTGGCTAATGGTTAGACAAGACAAAACATCGTTATGACATCATAAAGTGGCCAAAATCTGATCAGCTCATTTTCAGTTTTTATAGAAATGGATCAAAAAGAGAGAGAATCTTTGTTCCTGAAACTTTCAGAGTCTCTTTCCACAGAGGGGACACATGTTGATGAAGAAGAGACATGAAGAAGAGGGGACACATGTTGATGTAGAAGAGACATGAAGAAGAGGGGACACATGTTGATGTAGAAGAGAGATGAAGTAGAGGGGACACATGTTGATGTAGAAGAGACATGAAGAAGAGGGGACACATGTTGATGTAGGAGAGACATGAAGAAGAGGGGACACATGTTGATGTAGAAGAGACATAAAGAGAGGGGACACATGTTGATGTAGAAGAGACATGAAGAAGAGGGGACACATGTTGATGTAGAAGAGACATGAAGAAGAGGGGACACATGTTGATGTAGAAGAGACACGAAGAAGAGGGGACACATGTTGATGTAGAAGAGACATGGAGAAGAGGGACACATGTTGATATAAAAGAGACATGAAGAAGAGGGGACACATGTTGATGTAGAAGTTGATGTAGAAGAGACATGAAGAAGAGGGGACACATGTTGATGTAGAAGAGACATGAAGAAGGGGTGGTTTTGCATAATAGGTGACCTTTAATAAAAGCACAGAGAGTAGATTCAAACCGCTCACGTCTTACCCTTTTCGACCTCTCTGTTATTGTGGGCGCTCTCTGCAGCAACTGTCGTGGAGATATTTCATGGGTCTGTTAGGAGGAAAGGAAATAATCTGATTAATGATTCAGTCATTTAAACTGTGACCTATAATGTGCTTTACTAACACTCTTAGCCACACTGACTTCATGTCAAGTTGTGAATTTAATCCAATAATTACTTTTGAAGCCTTGCAGAATAGGGCTCCACCAACAGTGACCTCATGTTAGTCAGGTCATCAAAAAAAGCCCCCTTTATGCCCAGCGCTCAAGGTGCAAGACACACTGAGGGTCAGGTCTTTTTAGTTTCAAATCTCATCTGAAAACCTAATTACTTCTGGTAATGCTGTATATCAATTCCTGCTTATTGTATGCAACCCTGGTTGGATGAAAAGCTCACTTTAATCCCAACATTCACGGTCAAATCAACTTTTGTTTGTGTTACCAACAGTGACATACAGTATACGCAGATTTGGACCAACTTCTGTACAGTATTTAAATTTACATTTTGTTTTAGCTTTATCTATCATGCATGCTTATAGTCTACTTAAAGGTGGGGTAGGTAATTTTGGAGAAACCGGCTCGAGTGCGCTAGAATTTGAAAATACACAGCCGGAACAAATCTTCCACTTCCTCACAGAGCCCCTCCTCCAACACACACGAACGCGCACATGACCAATGAGGGCACGAGATCAGTTTGTGCCCAGATGGAAGGCTGACAGGCAGGTAGGCCATCCAGTTACTTTAGCCGGGCCGGCTCAGATCATTGGTCGTGCTTTTTACAGCGCCACGGCTTCCACAGATGACTTTTTGTTATGGATTTTTTGTCAAAGCATTTCAGATATTCATTGCTATCGGGATGTTAAGAGCATTCCATGGAATATAACAACAAGTGTATCTCGAGCCGGTTTCTCAAACTTACCTACCGCACCTTTAACTCCTGCATGTGACAATAAAAACGTTGAATCTGAGCAAATCAATAATCACCGATTGCTCGACAGCCATTTTAATCCCATCTACAGGTTTGCTCATTAATATAAATGTGTACTTTATCTAAAATAACCTTCTTATTATACATCCATGAAAAGAACCACAACGCCTGCCCTCTGCTGGCCACACAGTGTACTGCAGGTCCAGAGAAAGGCAAACCAATCAGATTGTGTTTGTGCAGTGAGACATGCTGAGTCGGCACTCTAGTTGTCCCAGTTTTTAGGGTGGTGTGCAGCCAGAGCTGGAGTTTCACTGCTTTTGTTAGAAACACTTGAACCAACAGCAAACACCTCAGGGAGAGTAGTTGGTTAATGTTCATCTTGTGATGCATTAGGATTCATAAACAACCTACAAATAGCAGCTTCATTTGAAACTCTTCACATGCTATTTTATCAGCAGGATTAAAACGCTGACTCTCTGGTCCGCAGCGGGCTAAAGAAGAACCTACCTTTGCTTTCTGAAAGAATTTATGCTTCAACAGCTCTATGGAAGTCGGCCTGGAAAACAGCAGAAAGAGAACAAACAAGTCATTTTTAGTGAGTTATTTTAGTGACTGTTATTTTGTATATATTGATTGTTGTGCTTTATTTATGTCTAAATGTGTCTTTTGATTGTACATCTTTTTTATATATCCTTGTTATTGTATTTGGGATTGTGGGAAACGGTATTTCGATCTCTCTGTCTGTACACACAAACTGAAAGATTGACAATAAAGTAGACTTTGAGAGGTGTCTTAAAGACCATCCACACCTTTTCTCCGGGTCCTTCTGTAGACACATGGAGATCATCTTCCTGAAGGATTTGCCGTATTTCTTCACCATCTCTTTGTCCGTGACGCCGGTCTCCAGAGCGGGGGGGTCGTTCTGCAGCGTCAGCATCAAGACCTGGAGACACAGCATTACTCAAATGTCACCCGACCTTTGGTAATCTCGTGAGCCTGCGCTTACAGGAAGTCAAAGATTGGCATTTGTTCTGTGTCATTAACTCATTAAGTAGGAAAGCTCCACAGTGTCCTCACCTTCATCGGAGGGTATTTGTGATAAGGTGCGGCCCCCGTGGCAAGCTCGATGGCTGTGATCCCAAAACTCCAGATATCTGCTTTGAAGTCGTAACCCCTCACCTGTGGAAAAAGAAACATATAATCTTTATCTCATATTGAAATGAGGGACAAAAAAAGTAGACAACATCGGATTTAAAGTACAAAATACTGTCCTTTATAATAGGCTTACAAACGAGAGATGATAAACTATAGGCCTTCAATTTTGACAATAGTGTCAGTAAAGACATTGAAGAAAAACAGCAGCTTTTTGACCAATTTAAATAGATTTTTTTTGATAAAAGTTGTGAGTTTTCTGTTGTCAATAATTGTAACTTGGCACCAACCTGCTCCATGACCTCGGGGGCCATCCAGCACGGCGTTCCCACAAACGTCTTGCGCACTTTATTCCTAGTCATGTCACCACCTGTTGCTAGAAAGGCACTGACGCCAAAATCTGAAGCAGGGAAACAGAGAGTATTCATTAGAAAAAAGCACAGTGAAAGGACCTGAAGCAGGAAGTCAATAAGGGTTCGCTTTTCCTCCACGGACAAGGCTTCCTATGCATAAATACACCATTGGCACTTGGCAGTTTAATAGGGGCTGCAAACAAACAAAAAGACATTTTAAATCTAGGTTGGTGTTGGCGGGTAAATACCTGCAATCTGCACTGAACCGTCGTCTCCGAGGAGAATGTTTCCAGCCTTAACATCTCTGTGAAAGACAAGCATTCAAACATTAAAAAAAGGACACAAGTTATTTGAAATATTACCTGAGTTTATGCTACCGTAGTATATTGTCTTTACTTTTTAGAGATGTTTAAATCCCTTCTGAAGACCCACCTCTTCTCCTCCTTGGCGTATTGACATCTTGTAGATTATTGCTTTTAAATTGTCTATGGTTTTGACTTGTACTTATTTATGGTGTGTGAGCTGAGCCGTGTGATTTGTTGTATGTTTTGTTTGACTGTACTTTATAAATAAAGCTGTATTGTATTTTCTACTTCTCCATACAAGAAATAGGATTCATCTTTCCGCTACTCTTATTTTAGATTAATTAGCAACTCAAGACAGTCTGTACTTCATTTGTTCGTCCCTGTTCATCCTCCCCTGGTGGTGATAAGAGGATTCAGAGGGGATGTCTGTCTGCCTCCACACCAGCCAGACACTGTTGCCATAGTGACAGACTCTCAGTGATGAAAGTGGAAAGGGTCAAGTGAAAGACGAGGGAATAAAAAGGCGAGGATGGCAGCGGTGTCACAGACGATACCCAGGCTTTTCAGGAAGAGCTTTTTAAAAGAGAATAATGGGAGGAGGGATTTGACACAACCCCCGGAGCACTGAAACAAAGCAGATTTCATTAGCACAGAATCAACTCTTAAAACTGGACTGACAAGAAGAGATGCAGTTCCTCCTGCTACCAGGTGGGGGCAGTAGAGTCATGTCAGATTGCACTGAAAGACACATGCTGTGGGATATTTCCAGCTAACAAATGGCTCTCAATGAAAGTAAAAATAGATGTGTCTTTGGAGTATTGCTTTGGAGATGACTCAGCTCCCCAGAAACAAAGCCTCACTTTATCTGGTGTATAATTGAATCCTTATAGACTTCGCCAAATAGCAGATACACCGGGGGGTTAAATGCTGCAGAGGCAATTGTGGTTTGGAGATATTCTTGTTCTCAGACAGGAATACCGCTGAAGCACGCTGACAACTTTGAAATGCATGCTGTAACGACCCAAGGATCCCGATATTTTAATGACTTAATGAGGTTTGGAAGCAAAAAGGGAAACAAGGTGGCGTCTGTAGTGGATTTGAGCCTTTTCAGACCATTTACATGCACAACAAACCGATATAACACACTACAGGAAATGGAGACAAGCACAACAGGGCTTCTTTAAGAGTTCGCAAGGTCAGGGTTCAGGTGTTTGACCGTGAATTTGTGAGATTATTTGCGAGGAGTGTCACAGCAGATCTCTCAGCACACAGTGAGCCTCACAGGAGGAATGCAGCATACGGGACATATTAGGACCTTTGGCTGAAAGAAGCAAAGCATGGGGATTCCCAGTGGAGGGCAAATATCTGCAGGGATGATACAACTATTCAGACTGAAGTGTTTTCAGGGAGAAAGAGTGTCTGTGTTCTACATGTCTCCAAACTTTGATAAGGTCTAGACGAGTTGAATGATGTATCGAGGGATGATTCAGCGGAAGGGGATGAAGAACAGACATGACAGCTTTTGCTCGTGGCTTGGAAAGGCTTGTCTCTTTTTACTGTCCTGACATCACAGCTAGGTGCTTTCAGGTCACAGTGGACGTTTCTCAATGTCGAGGAGGCTTGCTTGGTAGCACATGTACGCTGGGCATTTAAACGGCGCCACTCGATGACGTAGTATGCTTGAAATAGTGGCTCTGGAGCAGCTTTACTCGACATCGAGAAACGGCCCGTGTGTTCCAGTTTCTGCCTCTCACTGCTTGGTGCTTAGAAAGAAGAACAACGCGCTCGTCCTCCACCTTGAGCGTCAGGGTGGGTGATTTACGCCTGGTCATTTGAAAAGTTGATTTTTAAGGGTTGCACAGAGGAGGACCACCTGAGGCTGAAACCACAGCGTCCTCTCTGAGTCACGGCTTCCTGTGAGTCACAAATGATGAGCTGCATTTCAATGGGTTCAGCTCAGGCCACGCTAACGTTACTTTATCATATTTCTTCTAACATTTGGCGCGAACAATAGCTGAGGATGCTTCTGGAAACATGTCAGAAAGTTGACTGGTTGAAGAAACATGTTTTTATGCCAATGATGAAGAGCTTAAAACACACTGACCATTCATAAGAACAAATGTAGGCGTAGGTCGATTAGTGAATTGCACTCTTAGTGAGCTAAATCGCAATACATGTAAACTACAGGATATGAATTAGGACCATTACTCACACTTAGATAAATCTCTATACTAATGAGCTTTAAATTCACCAAATACATCGTTTACACTGAGAAACAGTACCTTATTATTGCTTTAATGTGGATTTGACACTGAACACACGGCGTGTCATCGTTCACAAAGGTTGAGGTGATCTGAGGTCCTTCGGCATTCATTCAAAAAGCACGAAGGCTTTGGTTTACTGCAGCAGATTGTGATGCTCCAAGGGAAAAGGCTGCAGACAGTCATTCACATTCAATGGAGAGGAGGAAGAGGAGGAGGAGGTGGCACAATGCAAGATCACAGAAATACTGTAGTTGAGAGGAAACTGCAGTTTAACTCCCATAGAGACGTGATTCAGCAGAGGTGGGAGAAGTACTCAGATCTTAAGTAAAAGTAGAAGTACTCAGATCTTGTTCTTGAGTAAAAGTAGAAGTACTCAGATCTTAAGTAAAAGTAGAAGTACTCAGATCTTGTTCTTGAGTAAAAGTAGAAGTACTCAGATCTTGTTCTTGAGTAAAAGTAGAAGTACTCAGATCTTAAGTAAAAGTAGAAGTACTCAGATCTTGTTCTTGAGTAAAAGTAGAAGTACTCAGATCTTGTACTTGAGTAAAAGTAGAAGTACTCAGATCTTGTTCTTGAGTAAAAGTAGAAGTACTCAGATCTTGTTCTTGAGTAAAAGTAGAAGTACTCAGATCTTGTACTTGAGTAAAAGTAGAAGTACCAGAGTGTAGGAATACTCTGTTTCAGTCAAAGTACTGCATTCAAAAATGTTCCTCAAGTCAAAGTAGAAAAGTATTCTCATCAAAATATAGTGAAAGTAGCGACAGTAAAAGTAGTCGTTGTGCAGATTGGTCCATTTCAGAATAATATATATGATATGTTTTATAATGATTGATCATGAAAGTGTTCTCAAAGCTGGTGAAGGTGCAGCTAGTTTGAATGACTTTGTATTCTGCAGGGTAGCTGATAACTAAAGGTATTAAATACATGTAGTGGAGTAAAAGTACACCATGTACCTCTGAACTGTAGAGGAGTAGAAGTATGAAATTGAAATACTCAAATAAAAACCCTCAAGATTGTACTTAAGTACAGTACTTGAATAAATCTACTTTAATGTACAATTTCATCATTTAATCTAAATGTATTTTTTATATATGTCTACTCCATGATATTTGCAGTTTGTTTTGATGTATTTGACTTATATCTGTATTCTGTGTGATAGACATTTCCTGTGAAATGTCTATGTGAAGCACTTTGGACTGCACTGGCCTCCACATATTTACGATCTGCTGAAATGATAGCCAGGTGGGAACAGAGCGGTATGAAAGTGTCAGGAAGATTGATCCTCCTCATCTGGCAGCTCCGGCACCTCGTGTGACATCACATCCTGGTGAAAAGAGGCTTTACGAGACACCCAAAGGGTCTCCTATACACACGACAATACCTCCCGTTCCTCAAAAACAACCTCTCTTAGCTTCTCTGCTTTGATTGCTTTCTGCTGAGTTTCATCTCATCAGATCAATTGTATATCTTGTTTTGTCAGTTCTCCACCAAAGGATCTCCCAGAGGCGACATAACCGCAGCCATTAGCTGATTATTACTGAAGCTCACATCCAGTAATCTGCCTCCCATAGCTCCAGAAGACGGGAGGTTAAGAAGTGAGAACGACTTAAAGCTCCACACAAAAGAGAGGAACAATAATTCAATCTTCACACGGATTTCCTCTGATTCGTCTGGCGAAATCTAGGTTGCTCAGGAAGGATTCTTACGGAGCGAAATGACCAACAAGTCTCTAAGTATCAGCCATGATTACCTGCTGTTTTCATTGTAGTTCGATTTACGCAACATTTTGGTTTTCCCATAGCAGACACACATCACTTACTTCTTACATGTTGAACACAAATACTTGTATTTTACTTCTTACATGTTGAACACAAATACCTGTACTTTCTACTTCTCACATGTTGAACTCAAATACCTGTACTTTCTACTTCTTACATGTTGAACTCAAATACCTGTACTTTCTACTTCTTACATGTTGAACTCAAATACCTGTACTTTCTACTTCTTACATGTTGAACACAAATACCTGTACTTTCTACTTCTTACATGTTGAACTCAAATACCTGTACTTTCTACTTCTTACATGTTGAACACAAATACCTGTACTTTCTACTTCTTACATGTTGAACACAAATACCTGTACTTTCTACTTCTTACATGTTGAACCCAAATACCTGTACTTTCTACTTCTTACATGTTGAACTCAAATACCTGTACTTTCTACTTCTTACATGTTGAACTCAAATACCTGTACTTTCTACTTCTTACATGTTGAACACAAATACCTGTACTTTCTACTTCTGACATGTTGAACTCAAATACCTGTACTTTCTACTTCTTACATGTTGAACTCAAATACCTGTACTTTCTACTTCTTACATGTTGAACTCAAATACCTGTACTTTCTACTTCTTACATGTTGAACTCAAATACCTGTACTTTCTACTTCTTACATGTTGAACCCAAATACCTGTACTTTCTACTTCTCACATGTTGAACTCAAATACCTGTACTTTCTACTTCTCACATGTTGAACCCAAATACCTGTACTTTCTACTTCTTACATGTTGAACACAAATACCTGTACTTTCTACTTCTTACATGTTGAACACAAATACCTGTACTTTCTACTTCTCACATGTTGAACTCAAATACCTGTACTTTCTACTTCTTACATGTTGAACACAAATACCTGTACTTTCTACTTCTTACATGTTGAACACAAATACCTGTAC